TAAAAACATTTATTTTCTAATTCGTTTGCTCAAACGAAAATAAATTATTCATTCTCTTTAAAAGCTATTAAGCATAAATAATTGTCTTTTGTCAATGCCATACTGTTAGTGCCGTCTGGAAATATCTCTGCTATCTTACTTCTTCTTTTCCTTCCTTTTTCTGATAATAGAAACTCCTTTGAGTAATTATTAGAAAAAAGTTGTTTTTTTTATTTTTTATTATTATTATTGTTATTATTTTGCAAATGTTTTTGCTAATGCTTTCTTTAATCAACTTTTTTGTTTTTGCATCTTACCATTATTGGATTTAAATTGAACAGTGGAATATGTTTTTGAATAACTGCATATCTATAAGGATATTGACGAATTGGTCTACAAGTTTTAGCTCGTAATATTCCATGGTTTTTAAGGTTTTGGGATGTTGGACATTGCTCGAATTTTTAAAGAGAATCTTTCTATTTACTTACGGCTTTTTTACATTCATCGTTGAACCATGGTTTCTTTTTTTTTTTTGCAATACGTTCTTATTTTGGTAGCTGGAATACTCTTGTGAGCAATCTGGTATAATGTTTAAGAAAATGAATCAGCTATCAGAATTTAATCAAAATTTGTCTGATTTTTCTAAATGAAAACAACAAAACCTTCAATTGAATCTGAACAACTTTAGAAAATGATGTCATAGGTACCAACGAAAAGGAATAATATTTTGTTTTGTGTCCTTTATCTTAAATCAAATATATAAAATGAGAAATTGTACTTTTTTTATTAATAAATCTGCAATATAGCCAAACATCAGTATGATTTTAAATATATTTTTTTCACTAAAGTGATTATGTTGGGATTGCACAGATGCAGTGTGTGTCATTACCATTATTTGCAATCGAGTCTGTTTACCCCACCCACTTTTCAAGTAAAACAAAGAAAATCCATAGGTGTAGCAAACTTTTGTAAAATGGCAAAATATATCATAAACTAGTTTGATTCACTGAAAGGCTCATTTAAAGCACTAGTAAAAGTGAAACTTTGTATTTGGTAATAAATTCTTTTTTTTTTTATACATTTTCAACTAAAGAATGGCTAAAATTTGTTATTAAATATTTCTTTTTCATGAACAAAAAATCAATATATGTTAGAAAACAATCCATTTACAATGTTCATATTTAACAAAATTGATTAGAATATCCTATTATGGTAATTTCAACATAGATATACGAGTATGTGAATATTTAATAAAATTCAGCCGCCATTTTGGTGGCCATTTTGAATTTTGGGAACCATACTGATTTTGAACTTGGGGTCTCTATAAAATATGAGGGTAAGATATCTTACTTTTAACATAGAAAATAGTTTGCTTGTAGAATTATCTGAACGATTCTTGTATTTAACCCTCGGAGGGACTCTCACTATACAGCAAGAGACTGTAAAAGTATATGAAAAGAAGGTAAAATAGTGTTTCAAGTGCATACGTAATTCTCAAGAACCATTCAGGTCTCTGTATATTTTAACTGCATTTTTTTGGTATAAATTTCACTCTTTATACTTGTGTATATTTTCCAATTTTCAAACCAAAGTAAACTCCTGAGTTTTTTTTAGATATACATGTAGTTATCTAAACTATAACACCAAAGATGCCACACACGGTAGTATAATTGTTACGGGCATGCAACAAATGAAAATACATGTACATGTATTATGTGTGTTAATCGTTTAAGCAGTGGATAATTATTTACATCAATAAACATACAAAATAAACTTTAAGTTAGTAAAGCATTTAAATTTAAACTACCTGACTTTAAATAAATAGATTTTATACAACCATATTTATGTTTGAACTTACAACAACTCCACAAAACCTAAATCATTTGCTCTATTTTTCGGAATACCGTTAGGGCCAACCTGGTTATACATGTTCTTTATAATCCAGAGGGCGACAATGAGATAGTACGAAGACGACAATACGACAGTGCGATGACGACAAAGCGATAGTGCGACAATGCGATAACAACAGTGCGATAATTCGTTGGCGACAGTGCGATAACGCGATGATGACAGAGCGATAATGCGATGGGGACAATACGGTAGTGCGATAAAACTATCGCGTTGTCGCCATCGCGGTATCGTTATTTCGCCATAACATTATCGCACTGTCGTCATCGCATAATCGCATTGTCGTCATCGCATTTTCGTACTGTCGTCATCGCGCTATCGTACTGTTGCCATCGCGTTGTCGCATTGTCGACTAACAGCTTCCGGTTCAAATGCTCACATCCTTTTTTGTATCTGATTGGGCGGCTGTAAACTGCTGACGAAAAAGCTGACGATATAGAGTATGAGAAAATAATTTTACTTTTTTAAATAAATTTCTAGGGGGAGGGGGGGGGTCTTTTTTCTTTTTACTTTGCTTAACACGTCTAAATAAAATTATAAATTAATAGGTAACATTTTTATATCCAAAGTTAAGGCAAATACTTATAGAGTTATACCTACATGGAAAATTTAATAAACTGTGTAAAACTTAGATAAAGTCGAAAGATTTCAGATGAAAATGATGTTATATTGATATTTAAATGATGCAAAAATGTTAAAATAATTGTTTATTATTTAAAGACAAACAAATTATATTCAAATATCATGTTACAAAAATATGTACAGAAATAAAATTTTGAAATGGAAAATGATAATGATGATTATGTAAATTTGGACAGTCTGTGTAAAATACAAAGTGGAAAGATTCCTTATATTCAACTGGTCAGTAGTACGTAAGTTTACTCGACAATTCAATGATGGTTCATTAATAACTCCAACTGGTCAGCACTGGGCACTATAAAAATATTGCTAAAATCACTAAAGTAATAACTATTAAATTATAATTGGTCATCAGTGGTTTTATTATTTTGTAAGAAATAGATTTTGTTTTATTACTAACATTGTTAAAAAATAAGAAATTTACGTCAAAACATAATTTTCTCTATATAATTGATACAAATGATCAGCAATGCTCACTATATGTTTAACTGGTCAGCATATTCTACTATAACCAACTGATTCCCCTGGTGGATAAAGTGAGACAAGGTGTTTCAATGTTGAAGAATACATCTATCTTGCTATATATCCATTATATTTTTTTTTACTTGAAAACGTGCCAAGTTCGGATTATCGAATACCTGCTGGTGTGAAGTTGGGGATTACGAAAAAACCAACTACCGTTGGTTGTTCGAATATCCAATTAGCAACTTCGTACTGAATTGACGCTCGTTCTTATATACAACTTTAGGCTTTACACCATATCTATGATGGGGTCATTTTTGGTACTTGGTGAACAGAGCGCTTTTATATTTCTTAGAGATAGTAAATAAATGTGATTGAATAAAGAAAACATTGCTGGCAATTTAAGATATACTAAATTCGGTGCCCACCTGTTTTATAGCGTATATATAGCCAAAGTGATTTTAGCTCAACACTGAGAAAGTGATGTATAGAGGTAAATGAAATTTATCGTGAAATACTAATTCATTCTGCAATGTTAGTAAATATTACATCTTGCAATTGCTTTGTGGTTTATGCCATATTTTCTTCTTATACTATATGGTCAGTAGGTTTAACGTATTGTGCATTATGCTGACCAGTTAAACGTACACATGTATAGTAGAATCGGCTATTGTAGAACTGTTGACCAGTAAAACATATTGTAGAATCTGTTGACCAGTTACACTTACAATGAAAACTGCTGACCAATTAGATATATATAAAGAAATATGTAATGCCGTGAATTTCTAATTAATATTGTTATGTTAGTAAATAACAGATTCCACATCTCGGAAACCAATAAAACCACTGCTGAGCAACTAAGATATAAAATAAATTGCTTAAGTGTTTTTTTGCCGTATTTTCTTCTTATTCTATATGGTCAGATTCAACGTACTGTACGTCATGCAAAAAACTGATGACCAGTTAAACGTATAGAAGAATCTGCTGACCAGTTAAACTTACAATGAAAATAGCTGACCACTTATATTGGATATATATAGAAAAGTATGTCTAGAAATGTTTTTACAATGTTAGTAAATACAATAAATGTAATATTATCTTACAACACAGTAAAACGCTGATGACCAATTAAAAATCTAATAGAAATTACTTACGTGAGTTTAGCAATATTTTTATAGTGAACAATGTTGATCACGTAGATTTATTAATAAACTATATTTGGATATATAGAGAACAATTATTTATTAGAAATAAAATGCATATTTTCATTTTCGTATTTGCACTGTAAAAATCTATTCTTCATTACATTTTCACTTGTGTCTTGCCGGACTTCTTTCTTCTAAATTCAGCCAATATACACACTTTTAGGGCAAGTCTTTTAAATTGTAATGTCAAAAATAGAATAAGAATAATTTTAAAAATAATACCGCAACTCAGGAAATATTTATTTCCATACCACTCGATGAAAATACATCTTGTCAATATATTCGTGGACGTTATTAATATCAAGACAATATAGCTTTCTGTCCAATTCCAAATGTATTGTGTATATATTGATCATCATAATGTAAATGTATCGAATAAAATATGTTTTAACCAAATGAAAACAAAAATCTGTCAAAAATCTCTAAAGTTCACGTCCGTGCGCATTAATATGCCAATGTCATAACAATTGGTAATGGTCCTGAATGTGTTTAGTCAAATGTAAGAGAGACATTAATATTCAAAAATTCTATCTGATTAAAAAGATAATCAGTTTAATATTTTCAAACTAGTAAGAGTTTAAGATATGACATTTTTATCATTTTATTTCAATATATATTGATATGGTTTCTGATTAAGCTGTGGGTGACTGATCAAGCATGCACTTAATCAACTGAAATCAATGTAATGACATGATAAAAAAAGGAAATAAGTAGGGGGGGGGGAATAAAGAAAGAGATCAGGATGATTATATATATATACTAAAACTAACTAAAACAAAACTGAGTCAAGTACATCAAGTAGTGGTTCTAGTAGCCTGCGCCAATCATTCCAAGTATTACACGACTGTATTCGCTAGAAACAGCGTCCTGAAATTTACAGAAAAACACTTTGTGCCAATTACAAAAATCACAAAAGATACATACAAAAGATGGAAAAATATACAAGGAATGTATGTGGGAAACATGGCATAGACAACAAGCTACTAGGAATGTGCTCTTAGGCCATCACCTTTATCTCTTGCTCTTCTTCTCAACCCCTTAAATCCAACTTCAACAATTCAATTAAGTTCAAAGGGTATAACTCTGACCAAAGCAATATTTTGCCAACGTGTTTTTCAAATTATTTTTTCTTATTTCAATATATATACTTGAAATGTGTCCATAGGACACGGGTGCCCCCATACTCCAAGTCTTGTCAATCTAATAATAATAATAATAATAATAATAATAATAATAACTTTATTTACCGAAGGTAACACATTAAGACATATACAGATTGCAACATCTTATTTACAATGCAGCCTTCTAAAATAAAAATAAAAAATAAAAACACACACAAAAGAACACATATCAATCAAAGATAATATCGATGGCTCAGCGCAATACTGGTCTAAGTGACATTTTTACCAAAAATCACTTTTTTACATATTTTGATAATGTAAGGTCAAATACACATTCTGTGAAAATTTTAGGGTAATTTATGCCTATTTTGCCTTTTTTATTTACATTTAAAATAAAAGACTATCTCAGGTAGTTCAATTTCGTCAGTGCAATATAGGTCTAACTTGAGTTGGTCTCTTATTGCGATGTCAAATATATCACTTTTCCACAAAAATGCTTGAGTTAGACCTTAAATGTTTCATTTCCAGGTACAGAATAATATGCATATCCCATTGAAATGTGTTATAAGGAATGTGAGAATTCATGAAACAATAGAAATTATTTGCCTCCATCAGTGCTTTGTATTAATCGCGAAATATTAGCCAATTGCATATCATGTACAAGTAACTGTAAATGAAAAATCTTGAAAAAAATTAATTATAACTTAGTGTCACATTTATTTTGCCTTTGAAGTCATTACATCATACTCATACTGTATTATTTGATAACATAAAGTGCAGGTGAAACTATCATTTTTGTACAATTTAGTAAAAGACAGTGTATGTTTCTCATGCACACATTTAAAATGGAAAATAACACGCGTTACACTAGGGATTCATAACCTCTGATCCCCTCTAAAAATTGTTTTTTTTTAGTTTGACCTTAGATTTCCTAATTCTTAATTTTACACTTTTTTCATATTTATATAATGTGTTCTGCTTAAGACTGTACATTGTTTCACTGCCATTTTTGAAAATATTTGATATTTATAAATGATTATACCATCAGAAAAGACAACCGCATACATTAAATTCATTAAGATTTAGTGCATAACAGTAATATCGGAATCACACCATTTAAGCACCAATGGTGGTAATAGTGTGCATTGAGAAAATAAAATATGTCTTCTTTGTACAAATGTGGGTTATACAAAATGTACATTCCCTGTTTTCAAACTTTGATGACATCATGATATATACCTGGATCATCAGTCATCATTGTTCATGATGACTGTTCATAACAATATATGAATCAAAACTGTTTGCATTTTGTTTAGAATTCAAATTTATTGCACAGATAATCTGCAAAAAATCTTACTCAAACAAATTGAAAAAGAAGAAAGAAGTGTACTTTCATCTAAAGTCAGCCCGCATGATATATTAATAGAAAAATATTAAAGGATTTAGTCTTTGTAAAGTTCTTCTACAGCCTTGCAGAATATTTTAAACAATGTTTAAATTAATAAAACAATTTTGTTTTTCATTTATATCAAAATATGTAAGGTACGTCTAACTCAAATATTTGTACCACTTTTACCAAATTGCAAGAGGGAATTTGAGTCTAACTCAAGTAAGTCTTGTATTGTGCTCAGAATTTCAGCGCAATAAAGGTCTAACTCTCAAATACACAATTTGTAACATTTAAATAAAAAATATATAAATGGCATTATTTCCTTATATAATTAATGTTAACATAGCAAAATAAAGTTTTCTAATATAATTATTTTTGAATAAAATCAGTTTTTTGTCTCTCCTGAACATTTTCAAAAATAGCAGTTAGACCAGTATTGCGCTGAGCCATCGATATAACATGTAAAAAGAAATGATTAAATGGTTATCACAATTTTAACATATATTAACACATATACTGAACATTCATACAATTCATTTTATTTATCATTAAACATAATACTTTCATCAGTGCATCATTTTAATCTGCAATTTAAAAAGTAAAATTAACTTACAAAATTAACAGAGTCAAAAAACTTGAAACTAAGACAGACACCCATTATTAGAAAACATAATAATAAAAAAACACATGTATGAATATAAAGAGCGTATCCTGTATATATAAGACATACGGACCGTGCTAAATTTGATTAAATAAGTATTTCTTGAAACATTTCTTAAATATTGACAATTTTGTTTTTCTTCTTATAGTCAGTGGTATGGAATTCCAAATAACCATGGTATTAAATTGGAATGTGTCATTAAAAAAATTAGTACGTGGTTTGTAAGACGAAATTAAATTTCCGTGAGATATCGATCTTAGATTATACTTTTGATTATTAGATATGGTAAGTAAGTCTCGGATATATTGAGGGGACATATTATTCAATGCTTTATATACTTGGACACCGCTGTGAAAAATACATCTTTTCTTGAAAGGCAATATTTTTAATCTTTTGTATAAATTTTCTGATTGTTTTCTCATTGGAAGGTCTAGAATAATTTTGCAAATTCGTGTTTGTATTTTGTATATTTGGCATATATATTTTTTGTTTTCTTTTCCCCATATATTACAACAATAATCAAAAATAGGAAGAAGGTATGCATTATAAAAAAGCATGCGAGATTCCTTATTTAAAAAGTACTTTATACGCCTAAATAAATTAACTTTAGAGTTCAATTTTTTACACACATCATTTACCTGACAGTGCCAATTGAGTGTATTTTCAACATAAATACCAAGCAGTTTTTGTGATTCTACATTGTCAAGAGTTGAGTCGTTAATTTTCAAATTTATTGCTTTTGCAATCTTTAGCTTTTGTCTACTACCTACCAGCATACTTTTAGATTTTTTAGGGTGTAAAAGCATATTATTTATTTTACACCACTTAGTAATCATATTAAGGCTATATTGTAGTTTTTCTTCTATAACTGATATGTCATCTCCAGATTTATGCAACGTGGAATCATCAGCATATAAATCTATGTTAACATCCTCGCAAATATTTGGGAGATCATTTATATAAAGAAGAAACAGTAAAGGACCTAATATTGAGCCTTGTGGAACGCCAGAGGTAACATACTGTACGTCAGATTTTAAGTCTCCAATTTAAATTATTTGCATACGATTAGACAGATACGAATGAAACAGTTTTAATGATGTGACAGAAAAGTGATAAAGTTTGAGTTTATATAAAAGTATTTCATGGTCAACTAAATCAAACGCATTTTGCAGGTCTAAAAATACTGTACCTATATATTTGCCACTATCAACATCTTTTAGCCAGGAGTCTATCAAATGAATTAGGGCCGTATTGCATGAATGATTCTTTCGAAATCCTGATTGTTTATTATGTAAAATATTTGTTTTTTGGAAAAAATGCTGTAACTGATTAGCTATGTGACGTTCAAAAATCTTAGATATTGTAGGCAAGATAAAAATAGGTCGATAGTTGCTCGGATCATCTTTCAGTCCAGATTTGAAAATTGGAATAACTCGGGCATTTTTTAATTCATCGGGAAATATTCCTTGTCTTATACTGTTATTAATTATGCTAGCAATCATTGGGGTCACAAAGTCACCACACGATTTATTATTTTTGGACCTAGTTCATCTAGTCCAGTGGCCTTATTTGCATCTAGTTTATTAATAATGTTTTCAACTTCAAATGCAGAAATGCTTTAAATTTTGAATTCTTTCCATTTCAATTTATTATCTAACTTATCCTTCAATATTTTAAATTCGTCGTTAGATAACTGTACTTTTTCGACAATATTAGAAATGTTTACAAAATGTTTGTTCAATTCATTTATAATATTAGCATGATCAGTAAATGTAGTATCGCCAAAAGTGAGCCGTTCGGGAATAAGTACATTTTCCTTTTTACCTAAATTAGTTAAATCATTAAATTTTGCCAAATGTATTTTGGATTTTTTCTTTCATTTATTGCATTATTGAAGAAATTCTTTTTGCTTTTCTTAATCTCTGAGTTTATTTTATTTCGTAATAATTTATAATTATCGAAATCTCCATTTTTGTGATATTTATCTCTTAAAAATATCATTGCTTTAATTTCATCAGTGAACCATTTAGGCTGTGCATCAAATTTAATTCTCTTTTCTTTTATTGGAGCATGTTTGGTAATAATATCTTTTACTATTGAAAAAAAGGTTTGTAAAGCTAAATTTGGATCAACAATATACTCCACAGATTCTAGAGAAGATCGAGCTAAATCAGTCTGAAAAGATTGTTCATTATATAAATGTCTTGAATGATCTATATTTCATTGTCTTATGGAAACCACGTTTAACTCGTGATTTAACTGTTCTAATGAAACAGACAGGGAAGTGATCACTTATTGATAAATTTGATACAAATATATTACATACATGTGAATGACTATTCACACTGCCATAATGGCTCTAGGTCAAATATTGTTTGGGCTACACGTGACACAAGTTGAAAACTGTAAATCGTATACTATGTCAAGGGCAAACACTCTACAAATACTAAATACATCTACAAGCAAACCATAAGGCGCACAACTACACATGCCAACACACATTACTATAAAGTTTAATGATTTTAGGTCAAATACTTTTCGAGCTACACACGACACAAGTTGAATATTGCAAATGTTTACTAATTCAAAGGGCAATAACTCTAGTAATACTGAAAAAGTCTACAAGCGAAACCCTTATACAGAATTACACATGCTGATCAACATTCCTGTAAAGTATCATGACTCTATGGTAAATACTATTTTAGCTACGCTCGACCGAAGTTGAAAATTGCAAATTTTAACTAAGTCAAGGACAATAACTCTGAATAAATCTACAAGCACACCCCAAGGTGCACAACCTCACATGCTGATCAATATTCCTGTAAATTTTCATGACCGTAGACTTTTTGAGTTATATGCGACACAAATTAAAAAATAACAAATTTTTACTTAGTCAAGGGCAATAACTCTGACAAAACAGAATAAATCCACAAGCAAAACACCTGGTGCACAGCAGCACACATACTGCCCAACTTTTCTTTCAAGTTTCATGACTCTAGGTTGAATTTTTTTTTGTGCTACGTGCATCACAACATGAGAATGAATGGACGGACGGAAAAGGGTAAATATACTCCCTCCTATAGTGGGGGCACAAAAATTTAATATCCAGACAACTACTTGTCGCAATTAAGAAATATATGGTTCTTCATACAGTGAAAGCAATATTTAAATTAGTATGAACTTCAAATAAATCATTTCAGTACATCATAAGAATGAAAAGTAATTAATGATGGGAGTAATATCTCTAAATTATATGACTTATCTAATAAAACAAGAAGCATACAACTGATCAATACCAAAACAGGCAAACCTGGTTTAAAAGTACTATTTAACATAAGAACAAAGAAGGTCTATATCGCTTACGTAAGTCAAATGTAAAATGGATAAAATAATCCTATTGAAGGACCATTTTAGGCTTAAAAGAAGACGTTGTTTAAAAACATTGTGAATACTAACATACAACATTTGATGAACACTGGGCTATCAAAAAAGCCACCACCTAAGCACTTTGTGCTCATTTAGTCATAGCAACTAGTTTTTAACATTTGCAGGAAATTCAAATATGTTAAATCATAGACCTGTTATAATTGAACAGGAACAAGTCTAGCTTAACTGTCTGATTGAAATCCTACCTTCCTGGCAATAAATTACCTGTACAAGACCTCATAAAACTAACAGAATAAATTATCTGAACGATCTTCAGTCAATTCTTATTAAAGGGAATAAATAATTGTATGTATTTAATTATTTCCTCGCAATTAAAAACCTTTATAATATTTTGAAAAATAAAGTTCAAAATAATTTCCTACATTATACTAACATAGTATTCTATAGAAAACACAACACAAATACCAATACTGAAAATATCTTGAAATAGGTTGTAGTAAATATATTTTAAACTTGTTTGGAGTACAATTCTACATGCCAATATACAAATGTATATGATATATTTGTTTTGAAACAAAGCATCTGAAAGAATAATATTTCACTCTACAGACATATACTATATATTATTTTCACATTCGTATAATATATTCAATATGTAAATAATTTATTAATTAGACTGTTTAACAGAAAATATTTTATAATACCCAATTTTAAAGGCATCATTATAAATAATAACAGTCATTAAATTTGTCAGTAAATCCTTCCTGAAATGGATAACAAAATTTAACAACAATGAGCGTATTGTTTTGCGTTTAATTTATTCAAGCTAAAACATAGAATACAGTCTGCAGACCAGTTCACATACAGGATAGCTTTTAGAAGATAAGATATAAATACAGTCTATACTAACCCTAACAAATTGTTCCAAACTTTGACCATACATCTTCTGGAAAACTTGTTTGATCTGTTCCATATCAACCTCTGCCCTTGTTACCATGATTCGAATTAATGTTCTATGATCTGTAGAAGCATCCTGTAATAGTCAACATTCAGAGAACTGATATTGATTTATATCGGTAATCTGTGCATTTATGCTGCTGTTAAAAATATTGTTCATTTATCTGTATTTTCAACCATTTGGACGCTAACTATTTTAATTGGGTATGTCTTTCATTCAATTTGGGCAAATAATCATCATATTTATTGTTTTTTGGTTGCGTTTTACTCGTACGTCTCAACAACACAGTGTAGGTCATATGGTAATTTGCTAGCTTTACTGTAGGAGGAAGAGCTCAGGCACCCTTTCGTGCATTATTTCAGCTACGCACAGGCACCAATAGCAGAACCAATGACATTTTGTTAGCTAGCTTGATAGGTTTTTGACATGAAAAAATCAAAGTTCTTGTCTGTCCGGAGTCGAACCCACAGCGGTGAGGGGCAAATGGCTTAAAGTCAACGACCTTAATCACTCGACCATGGACACCCCTCATCATCTTAGGGAAATTTCAAAATAACTGCTAAAGCAGCATAGGTCCAGCTTCTAAATGAAAGAAACCCGAAAACCCTTAATTTAACATTACTAAAAGAGTGTTTTCGGGTGTATTAAAAACCAAAAACATAAGGCAAATTGCTTAAAAACTAATTTACCTGAAAAATTTTACCTATTGAACTCTGCAGATCATAATCAAATGGCACAGATGTGACATCTGATCGTAATTTGCACTGGTAACAAGAGTAATTCAGTTGCTGCCAGCAGATAAAATATATGTACCTGGATTAGAAACATGTTACCCCCGTCTTTAGAAATTAACAAGCAATTGTATTTCAGCTGTGAAAAGAGGCAAAACAATATTGTTATACAAACCTTCATAGATTTGTATATTTTTTTTGCAAAGTAGCCTGGCCTGTGTCGGACACATTCAACTGTTAAAAAGAAATCAAGATACCACATGTTCAAAATTCTTACATAATACAAAAGGGGAATAATGGCTTGTTTTATAACCAACTTTTTTCAGTAGTTGCTTAATTTAATGAACAGCTATAGAACTATTAATATATGCCTAAAATATCTTTTATTGAACTGCACACTTGTAACGTTTACTTGCATTGAATAATGCAGAAATTTGTATTTTTATATACTTGGCAAAAACATCATAAAGTAATTGATATCTCCCAAATAACTCAATTGTGTTATATGGCTGGGTATAAACGATTGTTTGTAATAAAACTCTCACATATTGGCTAAAGATAGATAAAACTACAATAATTTATACTGGACCAATAAGCCATATAGCCAGTTAAATAAATATTTTTGATCATCATAACTGCTTTTCAAAAATAAAAGTAATCATCTTTCTTACTGTTATGGCATGCGCACAGTTTATGAAAACACATTTTCTTCACAGGAAAACTGAGTATTTTCAAACAAAATAATCTGCACTGATTGAAAGTAAAATATTTCATCATTCAATATAATGCTCATATATTTTTTGGAATCCATGTAAAGATACTTTGCCTATTTATTCTGAGACATTCACATAAAAAATCGAGTTGCGCAATCTGTTTCATGACATATTCATATAACGAGTAATGACAGATTCTGTATAATCTTATAAAATAACAAATAAAAATACTCACTAACAGGCAGCATTTCAACGTCAAGGATTTCTGACATTTCAATGCTTCGGCCAGAGATGCTTGTGTATTCATTAAATAAAGCTCTCAGCTGCTCGTAACTTTGCAACGCCATGATTTCAATCATTCGTGACTTTTCCGTACCCATTTTGCTGATCTCAGCTTGTACAAGGAACTGTTGAATATAACTATTTTAATGCTATTTCATTCACATCATGGCTTAGTTCAAAGTTGAATCAATACATTTTTAGCACGTAAAACTCACAAAACAAAATTATGGAGACCGTCTTATCTGACAGGATTTACCTTTCTTTAAAACATATAAATGTCAAAACTCACCATCTTTATATACCCTTACTGTAAATACATTGTATTGCTAGTCTAAATACAAAAATTCTACAATTGGCCTATATATCGCACTGCTTGCTTTTCAAGATAATCTAATTTACATTCACAGCTTTTATTCATTATTTCTCTGTTTAAAGATTTAGATTTAATATATTGAAATTGTTGTTGATGATGATTTTGATGATGATGATGATGATGATATGATGATGATGAACATGCATAAACGGTTTCATTTGATGTTGTTAGTCTTTATACAAACATTCTTCATGACTTAGGTATAAATGCTACTTCTTTTTGGTTTAGATAAACACCGAGAACTTTTAATAGATCGTTTTAATAAGCATTTTATAATTGAGGCCTTGAAAATTGTTTTAGAAAACAACATATTTTCATTTAATTGTTTATTCTACAAACAAGCTTAAGGTACAATCATGGGTACAAAAGATGCACCAACATATGCTTCTCTAGTAATTGGTTATCTTGAAGAAATACTGATAGAAAAAAAATATTTAAGACGATAGTTTTGCTGACTAGATAAGAGGCCAATGGAAAAGATACCTGGATGATGATTGCTTCATATTTTGGCTTAAACCTACCCAAGATTTATATCTGTTTGAAATGACATTGAATTCTTTCATAAAAAACATTAAATTTAAAATGCAAATTAGTAACACAAAACTCCCTTTCATAGATATTTTGATAATTAAGCTCTACAGACATTTACTTCAAAGGACACTGATTCTAGACAATATTTAGATTACAAATCACGACATCCTAAACACCCCAAAACAAATATTCCATTTTGCTTAGCAAGAAGAATATGTTCAATAGTTTCAAATAACACTGTTCTCAAATTAAAATCATAGGAGCTGGCAAATATTCTAATAAGAAGAAAATATCATGTTCAGGTTATAAAGACAATGCAAGTGCCTAAAAGTTTTATTAAACACAAATGAACGTAACAATGAATCTATTTTATCATATATTTTTAAAAAAACCCTGAAAATAGAGAGGTATTCGAAATTCTTAAAAATAATATGGAAATTTTATTTCGCTCACCTGGCCCATCGGATTCTTTCGAGCAATTACCTAGACAAGCATCCTGACCAAGTTTCAAGACAGTTGTGTCAAAAATGTGACCACCAGAGTGTTCACAAGGTTTTTCCATATTTGAGCAGTGAGACCTAGTTTTGACCCTATGTGACCCATATTCGAACTCAATCTAGAAAGCATCAAAACAAACTTTCAGACCAATTTCCAGGATATTTGGATCAAAACAGTAGCCACTAGAGTGTTTACAAGATTTTTCTATTTTTACTCATGTGACCTAGTTTTTAATCCGAAATGACTAATGCACGAACATATACGAGCAATTACCTAGACAAGCATTCTGACAAAGTTTAAAGATAATTGAGGCAAAAAATGTGACCACTAGAGTGTTAACAATGTTTTTCCATATTTGTGCGGTGTGACCTAGTTTTTGACACAAGGTGACCCATATTCTTGATCTAGAAACTATCAAAACAAAAATTCAAACCAATTTGCAGGATATTAAGATCAAAACAGTGGCAACTAGAGTGTTAACAAGATTTTTATACTTTTAGCTCGTGTGAACTAGTTTTTCATCCGAGATGACTCATGTTCGAACTCATCCAAGCAATTACCTAGACAAGAATCCTGACAAAGTTTGATGATGATTGAGGCAAAAATGTGACCGCTAGAGTATTAACGAGCAAATGTGGACGGACAACGGACATTCAACAATCCTAATGGCTCACCCTGAGCTAGCTCAGGTGAGCTGAAAAATTATAAACAACACACAAATAATTAAATGCAAACGTCAGCTCCCTAATTTAAAACACTTACTAATTAGATCCTAATTTGAAGAGAACAAAAATATTCCTAAAGTTTCTGAATGCAGCGATTCCGATGTGGTCTATGTGATCATATAATAGAGGGAAATTCTTTTAAAATTAAAGGTAAAACATTCCATATTAAGGAAGACATGGATTGTACTGTAAAAAATGTATTGTATGTATTGATATACAATGGATGGAATGAATTTTATATTGTTTTATGTTTATTTGCCCTGATGATTATATTAACCTCAGATTTTTAGTCTATATATGTATATATACATACTTGAGCATCAGAATTAGCTTTGTTCATGTCTACAGCCTGATTCTCCATTCTTTCCCCCTAAATAAATAAAATAATACATAATACAGATATATATATGATGCAAATTTGTATGTACATATATATTTTACCTTTTATAGTTATGTGTTCCTTTTATATTGTACAAATGAAAGATGACAAAGATTTAAAATAATTTAGGTGTTTAAACACTGACTAGCAAATCAATACATTCATGTTTTCTTTTTATTTGGAGCTGGAAAGGAGAGGCAGATGGGGTTACAGTTGGGAAAGGAGGGAGAGATGGGGTTAAAGCTGGGGGTGGGTGGGATTACAGCTGGGAGAGGAGGGTGAGATGCTTTTTTTCTATTTGGGAGAGGAGGGGGATGGGGTTAGTTTACACAGACACTGTAAATTTCAAACCACAAATTTCCAGTTTTATTGGTGGGTGGAGATGGACATCAAGCAGCCCTTCGGTCTCATTTCAGTGGGAGTCAAACCTACACTAGTGGCAGACAAGTTAATCAATGTAACATATAAAGCAATTACACTTAGTGAGTCTTAATAACTTATGCTTATGTAAAACTTCAGGTATATTTTATAAAACATGTTTAATCACACGCACGCGCGCGCACGCACGCGCACGCACGCACGCACGCACACACCTTCACTTACGTTAGCCAAAGAGACCATGAGTTCCTTGAAATGACCTGATGTTTCATTAATAATGTCTTGTTCTAACCTCCATTTATACACTGAAATAATAACATAAAATTATTATAACATCTATCAAAATAAAAACTACAAAAATGTCTAGTATAGTGGCATATGTTTAATACCACTTACCCTGCTCAAAGTTTTAAATGAACGCTTCCGTCTTTCATCTGGACAAGAACATTAATTATTATGACTCGTTGCGTGGGAAGATTGTATAGCAGCCAGCATGCTTAGGATTAAATGAAATCTATATTCTGTAACTATGTCACAAATGATTGTTGATAGTGAACATTTTGGTGTTTTTTGCTGTTTTTCTTACTCTAATGTTCAAAATTACTAATAATTTTTCAGAAAATATAGAAAACAAGAGCATCAACGAAGGGCTGCGTTCATTGAACGCAACTCTTTTAATTGGAACATTTTTATCAACTTCCATAGTGTAGTAAAACAATAACAATGTTGCCTTTCACCAAGAGATAGTATTCACATTTGAGAGCCAATTTGGACTACATACATATATGTGTTACCATTAATTTTATTGTTTTAATCCTACAATCCCTTAAAGTAATAATGGTTAGTTCAAAATAGAAAAATGGACAAGAATTCCAGCATGCAAATTTAGCAATAGATAAACACGATTACAAAGGTACGTTAGCACTTACTTCTTAGGTATGCTTCATTGATTTTCTGTATTTGTGCATTATTTCTAGAACACAATATCTCAATCATAGCATCTCTATCTGTACATATACCCTGAAAATATATCTTTTAAATATCTACATATTTGTGCATGCATATACCCCGTATATCATTTAGATATCTATATATACACCTCGGAAATTTAAAATTGGTTGTGATTGAAAGCACAGTCATGAGATGACGACTTAATTGAGCTAGAAAAAAGTAATTTGATATGTAGCATTACCAATTTGGTTATCATAAACCAGTAAATTTACGAGTTAAGTTTATTCTTAACCATATTTCTGAAGCATAAGCAATTGTGTTGTATTTTACCAAAAATGTAAGTGTTTATAAGTACGGTGTTAGAGCGTTTATAAACATTTACTGATGGATATTTTTGTTAATGTTGCCGATTACGTAATCTAAGTTAATGCCATTATGTAGCCAAATTTTTAATAACGTGTGTAACCGCCATGTGCCCGGATGATAGCCTCAACCCTTCTCCTCATACTACCAGTAAAGCGTTTAATGCGATTTTGAGGTAAATTTGGCCATTCTTGGTGCAGAGCTTGTTCCAGTTGTTGCAGGTTGACAACAGGTGGTTCGTATCATGACCCAAATAAATTTCAGTTGCGGTATTGTCAAAATTGACTAATATCCGGGCACGTGGCGGTTACATACGTTATTAAAAATTTGTCTACATAATGTCATTTTAACATTTACCAAAAATATCGACCAGTAAATATTTTGTAAACGCTCCAACACTATACTTATAAACCCAATCACAACCATTTTTTAATTTCCGGGATGTGCTTAACTTATGTCCAGGTGTCTATTGATTTGTCCAGAGTAGGGTTTTTTTTTAATTGGGTACAACTTGGTTTCGGCTATTCTGTTTTGTATGTATAAAACAGGACATTATATAAAGGTTTAGTAATTAACTACATTTATTAAAGTCACTTTATTTATAGTACGTTTGGATTAAGGACCCCTTTTTGAAAACAAAATTAATGTTAAACAAGCTGTGGAATATGCATATTTTTAGCTCGTGTGAACTAGTTTGTTGTGAACTTGTTAATCCTTTGGTAAAACTTAGTCCTGGATCAACACCTGTGTGCAAATAGTTCAGACAATTTATGTTTTTAGATAATTTGTTCCCTATTTTAAGATAGTTATTCGAGTGCAAACCAACATTTATCGCTTTTACACTTTTAAACATTTATGATAATGATTCTAGTTGATTTTTTGAAAGAGCTGCAGTATGTTGTATTTATTTTACACTCAATTTAATAAAATAACTTTCAGAGCTACCGTGAGATTACAGCTAAAGCATTTGAGGGCACTCGAAGTTAGGTGCCAATATCATGCATTCCTGAACATTATTTCTGGCAAGGTAGGGTTGAAAGTAGAACCACTGATCTCTTACAGTAGAGTGAACAGCTTCCATACCTTTAATAAAATATTCAAACCTGTAACATTGAGTATAAGTTCAAGTAACTGTTAGTCAATTATTTTAATTCCAGCACCAAAGAGGCCTCTTTCAGCATCAAATGGAATCTAATTAAATGTCATTTACCGTCATTGCGTTCTTCAGCTCGTAGGAATCGAACTCTTCCGGTGTCCACATTAAATCAATCATAACATCCTTAAACTTTCCACCTAACTTACACTTTAATTCTTCGGTCAATGCCTGTGATAAAATTTGATAGTTGAATAGCCAGTAATATTTACTTTAAGCTTCACTTGGAAATTAATTATTAGATGATAAGTATGTATATTTTCTTATTTCTTTATTTTGAATAAGGCATTAAAAAGAATATTCTAAAACATTTTTGTCTTGTCAACAAAACTATTTAAAACATACAGATCAAGTTTGATAAAATATGGTAGTTAAAATACCTTAAATACATTATCTCACATAAAATAGAGAAATAAAGAATCCTTAAAGACAGTCCAAAACGCAAAATTGAAAATGTTGCCGGCTCTATTTTATTGAGCCTGTTCATTGACGGTAATGGAAAATGCAATTTACCGTTCATGCCTATTAGCACCGGCATAATTCATCAGTTAAACATGAAAAGGGTAAAATATTGAATTTCAAAACATATGCAAATGTGTTCATACGGCGGTTATCATGGAACCTACAATGTAACACTAGGTGCAATTCCATGAAAAATGGTGTAAGGTCCCCAAGTAATAGCTCAACGGAACAAGAGGGCCATGATGGGCCTAAAATCGCTTACCTGAATATAAAGTCTCCATGACAAGAAACAAGTAATATTGTAAACAATAAAAAAACAAAAGCAGATAAAAATATAAATCTTAAACTGATATCACAAAGTTCATATTTGTATAAGAAATATTGCATGTGTAAAAACAATACTGGTTACTATTGCTTAGGGAAAACAACAGTTCCGACAGATATGTACATATAAGGTAAATCAATTAACCCCTGAGACGGGGCCAATTTTGACCCCAGGGCTTTTATTTGAACAAATTTGGTAAACACTCACTAGAAAATTATTCATGCAAAATATCTTAGCTCTTTGTTTTTTTTTTTTTTTTTTTAAAGATTTTTGTTTTTACGATATACAGATAAGGAAAATCAATGACCCCCTGGGGCGGGGCCAATTTTAATCCGTGGCTTCTTGGTAGACACTCACTATAAAATGTTTCATGTAAAATATCTAAGCTCTAGCTATTTGGGATTTTTAAAAGAAGTTTTTTTTTTGTTTTTACAATATACATAGAAAAAAAGTCTATGACCTCCTGGGGCGGGGTCAACTTTGACCCAGGTCTTTTATTTGAACAACTTGTTAGACACCCACTAGAAGATGTTTTATGCTTTATACCTAAGGGATAGCTCATTGATTTTTTAAAAGAATAAGTTTTAAGTCTTAATTATAAACATGTAAGAAAAATCACAATGACCCGGACCGGCCAAATTTGACCGAAGGGCTTTTATTTAAACACACATGGAAGACCCTGACCTTAAAAGAGATATTTTGAATTTTTTCTTTGGGCTGCCATGGCAACCAGAGTGCAGCAAGGAATTATTGTTTTCAAAGGTGACCACCAAAGGAACATTCCTGTGAAGTTAGGATGAAACTAGCTTAGCAATTTATGAGAAGATGTCATTAAAAAAAGGTTTATGGACGGACGAAGGACGGACGTACGACCTCAAGTGACATGATGGGGTGAATATCTTTGCATGTTCATTGCACACAAACTTGTACTTGTGGGGTAAAAGGTTGATTATCGGGTGTAAAGAACGGACAGACGGACAAACGTCGGACAAAAGGCAATCACAAAGCTCACCATGTCCCTTTCTGACAGATGAGCTAAAAATGGGCGGAACTAAACAGAACGGAATTTTAAAAGGGGGTTAGATGTTATGAAATAACAAGAATAAAGATCAACAAGGCAAAGGCAACGTTCACAGGATGTTCCTTTTATATATGAAGCCTGCATATGAATGATAAGATGTCAAAAGACAATGTTAAAAGCAGGCAATATATCCTGAAGTGAAAAAAAATCAATTGACGATTCTTAACTACATTTTCAAAGAAAAAATACTATTCAAATTACAGACATTATTACCATGTTCATTAAGTTATATATTTTTTAAGTCTTCTTTTTATATAATTACTGCGTAAAAGATTAATCTCATTTTTTTACCTTTCCAAAACAAGTTTTAAATTTTTGTTCAATATCCTGTCTCTGATTGTTAGTTCTATTAGCTAATATGTCTATGATGGCCTTCTCATCGATGTCTGAAAATATGCCAATCAGTTTGAATGCAAATACAAGTATTTATCATATGTTAAAATTTTTAACACACTAGGATGACGTTACTGAATCTAAGATATGCCATGTTCTAAGTGGACATTTTAAAATAATGAGTCTCTATTCCAGGATGATTAACTGGTAATAACATTAGTAAATATGTAAACATTAAACACTTTTACAGGTCCTAGCTTTAATTTAATTGGTAAAGCAAAAATCACGCTCCAGACTATTAAATAAATATTATGACTTAGCCATAAAGCCTTATTTAGTGTATTTCGGTGGTATATATAAAAATAACAATTTCTTACATTGTTGGAGCAAAATAGATATGACACAATTTAAATGTGTACTATACACTATAAACTTTAAATAAACATATCTATTTTAGTTTGTCTGTGAAATTGAAAACATAACAGGTCCAATTCCGAAAACTAACCAGTACTGTTGTTATATGAGGAAGCAAGTCTTGACTGAGTAAGGCTTTAGGTTGCATGGCCCATATGACCATCTGTCCCTTTACTATTTACATGTAAGCAAAGACTAGCTGCTTTACAAAAGTAAATCGTAACAATAGCTTGTGGTTACCATATTTAAGATACAAATTTAAACATGTTGCTGATAATGTTATTACATAACTCATACCGTATACCTATACTATAAATAGCCAGAGTTTATTTTGAATTTAGGAACAGAAAACATTTACGAGACCCAATAAGTATGAGTGACAGCATGGTCAAGTGGTTAATTTGTCAGACATGTAATCAAAAGATTTCTACCCATTTGAGTTCAAATGCACAAGCTGTTGTGTCCTTTAACAAGATACTGTACACTCATTGCTCAGTCCTTGTTGGTTCCAGGAACAGATTTGAGCGAGTGTCAAATTAAACGCTAAAACGAAAATAGATTCTGTGTAAACTAAGACCGGTAAGATTATCTGTCTCTTTCTGTGCAAATTATGATCATCATAATACTTGTTAAGCATGCGATTTTAATATAACAAAATAATTGCTGATAGTGTTATTTTTTTATATCACACCAACATGTGTATAACCCATGTGGCAATTTTCCAGCTTTACCGGTGGAGGAGGACCTCAAGTGCCTATTTGTGTATTATTTTTGGCACGAATGTGCACCTGAGTAGAACCACCAACATTCTGTATGGTAGCTGGAAAGGTTTTTCAAGTGGCAGAATCCAGTCACTGGCGGGATTCCAACCAATAGTGGTAAGGAAAAGTGGTTAAAAGTCAGCAACTTTATGTTGCATACTGCACTCTAAGGTTAATTAGTCATACATATTTTATAGAATGACAAACACAGTTTTGGGATGACATGTATGTATTTCATAATGTGAACTTTAAACATGACATGATAAATATATATTATATTACAATATGCCTTTAAACGTACTGGTCAAATGTCGGATATAATTAAATAGTTTCTACATATAACTTATTAAACACAATATGTTGATATTTTTATGCGGCGAAATAAGGTGGTCTAAAAGCCCAGTCTGGGGTAGTTCGGATTTGACCAGATGAAAAACAAGTTGTACACTTATGTAGAATTAAAATGGAAAAGTCAGTTGTGCGTTTTATTTCTACTACACCACATTTAACCACTTAACCATTTTGACCTATTACTAATCTATTTAAATGCCTAGCCTTATTCTAATGCCTACTGTTACAGACACATTAAACTAAGGGTATGCTAGGCAACCAGTGCAGAACAATATAAGCTCACACTTCTGTGCAGTCTAATCATCATTTGCACTGTTTGCTTTTCAATTGACTATTGAATTTTGCTAAAATTACAACATATTTTTATTTTTTTATCATGAGTTAAGTCAAAATAGAGAAAAATAGAAGCCCGAAAAAAAGTTCTTTTTATAAAAGACCTACAGCTGACAGTTACTCTCATATACATGCCTTTGTTTCTACATTCAATATATTTTGGGTAAATTGTATTATAGTTTTGGGACCTCTCTGATAAAAATGTGTTAAATCCTTTATACATGCATGTATTGTGCTTTAATAGGAGTGCGCGTATTAGTTAGCCGCACTCATAGTATGCTGAATGGTTGTCTCACTTTTCTCTTGGGTTTACTTAATGTGACGACAGGGAAAGGGATAACGATAGAAGTGTCATATTCTTAAAAGAGAAAGGTTTACACCAAAACAGTCGGCAATCTGATTTATGCTCTTTCTATTACAAAGTTTATTACAGTTTACTATTTTACATAATTAACTTCATTAAAGCTAAATTATTCATAAGTTTTGCTACATTAACATACAGAGAAACTACTTCCTGTTGAATCTCTTGTAGTTTCAGAGTTATGTTCTGAACAAAGTTAACAGTGTTAATGAACAAAGGGCAAGAACTCCCATATTAGGCAAGGCAGATTTACGATTATTTTGCACTGCATATTTACTTGATAAGAGCTATCCACCTGCGAAGTTTCTAATTGATATCACTGATAGTTTCAAAGAAATGTCATGGACATAGTTCAAAGTGCAAACATGAAAAAAGGCTAATAATTTCAAAAATAGGCAAGACAGAGTAACAATTCTTTTGCACTGAACATCTACATAAGATCTATCTACCAACTAAGTTTTTTGTTGATATCTGTTATAGTTTCAGAGTTATGTCCCGGACAAAGTTGAAAGTATAAAAATGAGCAAAGAGCAATAACTCCAAAATATGACTACGGAGAGTAGTGGTTCTTTTACACAGTAAATCAACTCAATGAGATCTATGTTCCTACTTAGTTTCTTGTTGATGTCTATTTTAGTTTCAGAGTTTTGTCCCTGACAAAGTTCAAAATGTAAAAATGAACAAATTGCAAATACTCCAATATTAGGCTAGGCAGAGGAACAGTTCTTTTGCACTGTACTTTTATTTAATGAGATCTATCTACCTACAAAGTTATGTTCCGCACAAGAAAATGGGACGGACATCCGGACAAAGCGGCGACTATATGCTCTCTTTCGGATCTTCCAATCTTGACAAATACATTTATGATTTTGTAGGAAAAATTTCTGACTAAATAACAATGTATACCATGAACAGATAGCAAGGGTCTGCTGGTTTATATTAGTCTGCACTGGTCATAAGGGTTGAATCAGTTGCTCACTACACACTTAGGACTAAACAGTCCGTGTTAAGGCGTCATCGAAAATATATCTTATTTTATTTTCACTCAAAGTAGTGATCGTAAAAGGATTTCTTAACGGAAATATTTTTTTTTATATTTGTATAAACATAAAGAGTACTCACTTAACCCTTTCATAGCTTCACTTAGAATAATCGCATCATTTTCAGCATTGAATTTAGCTGCTTGTCTCAAGGTGCCATTTTGCTGTCAAATAATGAAAAAAAAAACACATTAACGATTGACAAAATTAATCTGTCTATAAATATAATAGTCTAACGTTATAATAGTCTAACATGTAATCAGATAGCCAAGATGAAAATTTTGATTCAAATCATTTTTTGACAATTTGTTTAAAGAAATCATAATAAATGTATCAAAAGAAAAGTTACCACTACTGCACCACAATTACACTTATTTAAGTTTTTGAACAATATGTGTAGACGGTCACCCAAGACTCGTTTCTGTGATATAATATCAATTTACACAAAGATCTTCAGTCTTCATCATACAGAAAAGGATTGCACCATTTAGCAGCACCCTTTTATGCTATATTAAATTAATTTGATCAACAATGACAGAAGGTCACCCTGTAAAAAACAAACAACAACAACAAAAAAAAAAACAACAACAAAAATCACGCACACAAATGCAGAAAAATATGTTTATTGTGATGTAAGTCTTACAAACAGTTTTTCACTAGACAACAGCCACGTTCACATTAAATATGAAAAAAAGATCAACAAAGAAGGGCGGCGTTCCATGAACGCAACCCCCTCACAATTAAGCGACACAGGACCACGGGCAAGGAGCCAAGCAACCCCGAAGTAAAACAGGACAGGGAACAAGGCAAAGCACATAGGGGATGATTATTTTAAAAGGAAATTATATAAACCGACAAGGAAACCATAGAATACAATTTATTGATTAATTAATATGCCCAGAAAGTAAAGGGCGTAGAGGAAGGGGACACCGGGTGCCAGGGGGGGGGGGGCAAAATGTAAAAGAAAATACTGTACACGGAATCATTTCATTTCAACAAATTATCATGAATAACTTTAATATAAATAATAAACACTTTCTTTTACCTCTTCGGGTACACTCTACGTCTTCAAAATCATAAATATCACAGTTCACCTAGACGAACATCATCTGTCGTTTTTTGCCTTTAAAGTTTTCATTTGTTAATTCTTTTATCTTCCTCGATCCATAAAACTATACTTAACGCATTAGGCTATCCCCTTTAAAATATACCATTCTAAAGAAATATAATATTACTCATACACACTATCCTTATAAATCTAGAATGTATCCTTTACATAAGTGTAATTCTAAAAGGTGCGGATGTTGTAACTTTTCAAAACACAGGACTACATTAACCTTTATGATGGACAGTTCTTGAAGCCCTCTGGGACTGAATTATCTAAATGTTCGTCTTCTGTCTTGCTTTGTCGGGTCCTTGTAGGTGATTTTCTTGTTGCTCTGCCTTCCTTTAACTTTAAGACATACAGTACTTTTGTTATGGTCATTGGGTTTACTTTTAATGTATCTACATGATCAAATCTATGTTTTACTTATTTCAACTTTTGTAACCATAACCGTTAAATTTTACTTGGCGGGGATTCGTTTTATTAACAATGTCTCGTTTTAAAGGAACATGATGCGGCTGAGAGTGAGATTTGGTGCATCATTAACTGGTTTAATCACCCCTGCAGGACTTATGCTATTGCCGCTTCAAGACAGCGCCCCTTTGTCTTTCAAAGATGTATGTCTTTGTTATTTCATACTGTTATGGTGACACTTGCTGTTTTCTCGTCTTTGGTAAGTATCTTCCCTTTTGTTCCTAGTTTTTTACTATTAATTTTGTCCCTCCCTTCTCCGAATCTCGAGTCCCCCTTCCCCTGTGCCCTTTTACTTTGTGGGCCTATTAATTCATCAATTATTTGTTTCTTTAAAATTCTTGTTGGTTACTATTATTTCTTTATAAGTATTAATTAAATGATTATCATATCCGTGCTCCGCCTTAAGCTCTGGCCCTTTTTTGTTTGGGCTCCACTTGAGCTCCTTGCCGCTTGTTCTTGTTGCTGGACCGTGTGGGGGTTGCGTTCCTTGTAAGCAAGGTCAGACAGAAAGACAGACAGACAGACAGACAATGGGTGATGACAACAACTCACCTAGAGTATGTTTAGCTTAATACTTACCCTAAATGTATAGTCAGTGTAGGCCTCTCCGAGGCCCAGCGCTGATACATAATGCTGTGCTATATGATATGCTCTCTCATTCTCTCTAGTCACATGAGTTTAACTCAGTTTAGACACCTGCGTTCACTTTATGCCGCCTTTCCTTGTTGATATTGTTTATCATATAATTGACTCTTTGATACCAGGTTTATAGAATGTTTTGTCATGTTATCATATGAGATGTTGCACTTTTTCATTATCCCTCACGTACAGACTCAATGAAACCGAGTCTGCAATTGTCATGTATTTTGCTGTTTTAATGCTTCCGGATCATTTTTAATAAGATATTCGAAGTAAGAAAAAAGTACATGTTGTAGGTAAGAATAAATAGAAGTTAAAGACGGACTTACATAAAATTGTAAACAATGAAAGGAATTTACATTTAATTGTAACAAATGGACCTACATACAATTGTAAATTAATAAAAAAACTATTGATTGGATTTTAAATTGTAAAATTACTAGCTGGGCAACATTAAATTGAAAGGAACTGAAGCATAAAATTCTCAAAGATATAACAGTGAAATGACGAAGTAACATATAGACGTATGTCTTTGTTGTTTCATAATATTATGATGACACTTTTACGTCCCTTGTTTTCTCGTCTACCGTAAGAATTTTCCCTTAAGCCACCTAGTTTTTTTAATTTTCTAATTTTGCCCCACCCATCCCCAAACTTTGGGTCCCCTTCCCCTTTACGTTGTGGGCCTATTAATCAATCAATAAATCGTCTTCTATATTTTTGTTGTCGGTTACCTTTGTTTCCCTGTATATTTATTAATTGATTTCTTAAATATTTTAAGGCAACAACTAAAAAAACTCCCACTTATCGGTTAGGTTTAAAAAAAAGAAAATTTCAGTAATTTTCACAAAACCCTTTACAAAATGGGAAAAACCTTTTTAGCAAATTTCGTTGTAAAAAATATAAAAATTGTTTTTCGGAAAAGATAAAAAATTATTTAAAAATAACTTTGATCGAGATTCTCCCTAGAAAAGTCAACGGTTTTCCCTTTTTTTAGCGGTTTGGGAATTTTGAGTGTGTATCGTTTTATACAATGAAAAAGTACGTCCTTGCTTATCTGTACAAGGGTTTTTTTTATTTGCTTCCGAAATGAAATTTGGGTGGACTATGTTAAAAAGGTTTAATTTTTTAAGGGGATGAACGCCCCAAAATTTGGTGCGCAGCTTGGGTTGCTTCCTAAAATGTCAAAAACTGGCATATGTATAAATTTGACACATTTGAAAAAAAATGTGCGAGTGTTTTTCCATTGCCATTTAAAGAAAAAATTGACGCAAAAAGTTCATTTTGGCAAATAAACTTGTCAAAAAAGTACTTAAAACCCCTTTTTGGGAGTTGGTTTAATTTTTTCCAAAAAAGAGTATGGAACTATGGAACTAAAAAAATGGAAAAAAGTGTGTTCTCGGCAAAAAAACGGTTAAATTTGTTTAGGTACTTGGTGGAACTAAAATTCAGTAGCCCCCGGGCAAAACATCGCCATGAAAAGTATCCTCCAAAAAAAATAAATTTGGTTCGTAGTTTTTTGGGAAGGGTTAATGTGGAATTTTTATATCAGCAGACTCGAAAACCCATGCGTTTTTGGGATGAAAAAACATTTTTTGGTTAGCCCACCTCTTTTGTAAAGCAATTACTTTTACAAAAAATTTGTGTTGTCTTTTGTCCAAACAGGGAAAAAACCCTTTTTATGACTTTTCCAAATATGGAATGAAGTGTAGTTCTTCAGAAAAAAGAAAAAAGGGGTTTTAAACAAATTTTTTGCGTCAAAAGCATTTATCCCAAAAGAGGGGTTGATTTAAATGTTTTTTTAAAAAAATACGGGTTTAAAGGTCACGCATGTGTATTTTTTTGGAAAAATTTCCCAATATAATGACCAAAAAAGGAAAAAAATACAGGTAAAGCAAAACCGGGTGGACATAAGGGGGGCGAAAAGGGGAAAGGGGCCGTTATGTGTGGTTGAAAAACTTAAAAGGTAATTTTGAAAATTTAAAGGACAAGGCCTTAAAGATTTTTTTATTACCGGGAAACTCCAAAAATTAAGCAAAAAACAGTTTAGGTCTTTATTTTAATTGCTTTCTGTTATTCCGATTTTTGCGGTTCTGATTACATTTAAAGATTGTATAAAAAAATGTTTGTTGACTCATGTGCATCGTTCTAAAACAGAAAAAAGGCTGAGGGAAACAAAAGCTGACTATGTATGCAGTATATTAATTTAAATGCTCGTGTTTTGAATTGCAAAACTGTATAAACCTTATAGGTAAAAAATTACTGTGAATAAAGGTTTGTTAATGAGAAATGACTGACTATTATTCCGACATACATGAGACTCGACATTCTAGGTTGCACGAAACTCATCAATGCATTTCAAAATGTAGAGCAAGCGCAAAATAATCAATTTGGTGAATAGGTATATCACGTGACATACAGCGCATGATTCATAATTGCGATATTTGTGCAAAATTTCAAAATGACGAAAGAGAACAAATAATATCTACTCCGATTCCTTATAGAAGTTGGTCAAAATTAGGTTCAGATCTTTTTCATTGGCGAGGACATACATACGCGTATTTATTAGTAGTAGTTTTCTTTTTGCAATAAATAGAACAATCAAGACTTACGTCATAGTCGTCGGCGGCGGAAGCTGAACATTTCAAGTCAATATTACCGAGACATAGCACATGCGATACCATAGTTTCTAATGGAATACCGCAATACACCTATGACGTTTACAAACCAGTAGTTCACAATATCCGTTCGGGAATTAGGAAGCAGAACGCGCTGTTCAGACGGTTAAACTTTCCCTTTGCCCCTTTACTTTGTGTGCCTATTAATCAGTCAATTGTATTTGATTTCCTTATCGGTTACTTGTATTTCCTTTCAGGTGTTATTAAGTGAAAATCATGTCCGTACTCTGCCTTGTGCATTGTCCTGTTTTTGTTTGGGGTCCTTCTGGGTTCCTGGTCGCTGGGCCTTTTTGCTGGGTCGTGTGTGTGTGTGGGGGGGGGGGGGTTGCGTTCTTTGAACGCCACCTTTCCTTGTTGATCTTGCTTTTATATTTTAAGTCCTAGGGTTAGGGTTAGGGGAGTGTTGCAGCTACAAGCAGTACGATGACTACACCTGTTGCTATTGCAAGTAGTACAATTACTACTATCTCAGTCGACTACGCCTACTACTGTTAAACCTTGACCAAGAATTGCTACTGGTGTCGTGAATTACACGAAATACTTGTTGATTTAACATATTAATGCGGGAAATCATTACTCTTTAGGTTTACTCCAAATCATGATTTTCATACTTGTTTGGTGATAAAAAATTTGGTATAAATATATGCTCTGATTTGTATGTTTCTGGACATTATAGAATATAATAAAGTAGTGATACAACCTTTCGCTTATGTATTTATTCCTCTTATGATTTTTTTATTGTATACTTGTAAAGTAAACCTATGAAACATGGCTAAAAGTAACCTTCAATACAAGAAGGGAGTTCGAACACGGTTTTTCAGTAGATTAGATAGAGAAATCCAACATGGCTCAACGTTGATAGATACAGAGACTGACTGACTGTCTCCTGAAGATTGCACTATCTTACGACAGAAGGTGATTGAATGTAAATTCAAGATCAATATTTACCTTTAGAAACTTAACATTCAGTCGAAAAAATTAGCACAGGAGCTAGGAGATTCTGATAAGGATTTAACAGAGAGTATAATAAAAAATGACTGAGACTTATGTGATAAAGCTTGGTCAATGGATTGTTAGCTTCAGAATCTAAATGGTTTTCTGGAGGAAACAATGTTGTATTAAGTAAGTGACGCGGCTGTACATGATGCAGGTGAAAACATTGTCCAAAAGATGTGTGACATGCAAATGAAAATGCAACAGGATTCTTTTGAACAACAATAACAACAAAGAAGTGAAGCTCAAATGCTGTTACAACAAGAATTTTTCGAAAAGCAAAGTGATCAGGTGACCAAGCGTGCTCATTCGGTAACGCTACCAAAACTTGAAATGACTTCTTTCAGTGGGACTCGATTACAATGGGTTGAGTTTTGGGACTCGTTCGAAAGCGCGGTGCTCAATAATGATAGGATTTCAGACGTTGATAAATTTAATTACTTGAAGGGAAAATTAACAGGAGAAGCAAAGAGTGCAATAGCTGGACTTTCTTTGTCTAATAAAAATTATGCGGTAGCTGTGAAAATTCTTAAAGAAAGATACCGTGACAAACAAGAAATCATTGATCTTCATTATAAGGGACTGTTGAATATATTTCCACCTAAATACAATTTACGTTTCTTAAATGACAAAGTTGAACGAATCATCACAGTCTACAAGTGCTTCATGAGAATTAAGATCAACATGTGTTCATTTCTATGATTCGGAGTTAATTACCAAATGACGTCCTTTTGCAGCTTGACATTCTTAAAGGGACTGATAATAAATGGACAATTAAAAAACTGCGTGATCTTCTCCAACAGAACATAGTATCCAGAGAAAAATCGGAGAAAAGCAAACCTATTGTTACGCCATTGAATCACAAAAATAACGTTTCAAGATTTCAAGCTCCAAAATATGGTAATACTTTTAATAAGGACTCTCGGAATCCAGCATTACCTAAAATCACTTTAGAAGCAAGTGAAAAGAAAAGTAACACGCTGTATTCTAAGAGATGTAGATTTTGCAACAAGGATCACTGGAGTGATGAATGCCCGAGGTATAAAAATATTGAACAAAGGAAGCAAGCTGTTAAAAGTGCTTAAAAGAGAGACATATGTCAACGGAATGTTAAAGTAAAAAAGTTGTGTTTATTGTCATCAAGTTAACTTTCACCACAGAAGTCTATGTCCTAAAAAGTTTCAAAAATTTGTGCTGAGGGAAAGTGCTAATGTGTCAAACGATACTGTGAAACTATCTACAGAAGAAACAAGTGATTGAAAAACAAAAGAAAATGCCCCTTTATCATCAAATGAAATTGTGTTAATGAAAACAGCACTAACCGTGGTAAAAGACACTTCAAATTGTAAGAAATGTTAGAACTCTCCTTGACTCAGGTTCACGAAGAACCTATATAACAGAACGACTTGCTAAATCTTTGGGGCTCAAAAAGGAGCGTGAACAAGAAATCCAACGCGTAACATTTCGAAGTCACAAACTAAAGTTGATCAAAACTGTCTTAACAAAGTTGAACCTTAGTCTTAAGGATGGACAAAATTTGACGATAACAGCAAACATTGTACCAAATATCACTGGCAGTATTCAGAAAAGCAAGTTCAAATATTCGACAATAAAGAATTTGACGGCTAAGTGAAGAACCTAGACATAGCTGATACGGTTCCTTCAGAGATTCAAAACGACACAGTTGAACTCCTTCTTGGAAATGATTATTATCTTGACATCATTTTAGGTTACAAGATAGAGGTCCAAAAGGGTTTATACTTTTGGCAGAACAGGTGAAACTGACAAAGATATCACTGATGTAAACATGCTGATTCTAACTCATGGCAACATGTCAAAATCTGAAATATTTACAAACATAGATGATTCAATTCCGACCAAGCCTGACCTTCAACATTTTTGGAACTTCGAATCAAATGGTGTGACAGAAAACCTGAACAGTTTCTGAAGATCAGCAAGCAATACAAAACTTAAGGGATACGTTGACGTTAAAAATAACAGGTATTTTGTTACACCAAAGCTAAAAGAGACATGACCTTCGAAGTTACCATACCAGATCAGAAGGATCAAGCGAAAGTAGCAGTAGTAGAAAAAGATCAACAGATAGGAAAGTTGTTCAGTCAAGATTGAAGAAAAAATAGGGATTAGTTACAGCAGTAGGTCGTCTTCTGGACACCAAAGGTCAAGCTCGATCCAAAAAGTCCAAGTTATTCGAGGTTGCGATCTTATAGTCTTATAAATATAAACAAAGGTCTTTTAATTGTGGTAATAGTTCAAGATCTAGATCAAGAAGTTATCGGCGTACAGACCCAAAAACTAAAGTACACGTCCCAGGATAAATATGGTAAACCATCTAGATATCATGGCAGAAGTAGTTGTTTGAATTTTGCTGATGAAATTTCTGATGGCAAAGATACTGCAGGTGTAATTGACGTAAATCAGATAAGGATGTTAATTCGAAGAAACTTCCAAAAAAAAAAATTGCAATAAGACGGGAAATCAAATGGATTATCTTCTAGAGAACAATTCGAGAGTTATAGTGTTGTTTCGAACTGGTCTGACATACAGAGCAAGAATTATCTTACTTGGAGTCTTAAAGGCAAAGCAGTAGATTTCGTCACCATAACGACTAAAGCAGGTCGTTATAATTCTTTCAGGCAACTTATGAAGAAACTAGAGAACAAATTTGACGACCAGAAACATCACGCACGTGTTTAGTTAAGCAGGCTAAACAGTCATCAGATGAATCTTTAGATGATTGGGCAGATAGAGTTCTCACATTAGCAACATATGCATTTAAAGATCTACCCGAAGAACATAAAATGAGGGAAGCGATTTTGAAATTCTGCCAAAGGTTAGTTGATACAGAAGCAGGGACGCATGCGTGTTTCGATCATTCTAGGAGTATACAGGCTGAAATGTTGTAAAGGATCACCAGTTTATCTCGTAGGCATTGGATGGCAAACGTATTCCAGAAGATCTAAAGATGAAAATCTGTAAATGCAGTTAATATATCAGCTGAAGCAGCAAGGTAATCCATTGAATCGTGATTTAACAACTTTAATTAAAAGTCGAACCATTCTCTTTAACTAGAAAGGGCCAGATGGGAAGTCCAACCTGCATCCTTATACTCCATTTTCAAGATTTGACCTGCAAAGCCCAGCAATTTACCCTAAACAAAAGTTCTCCGATTCGGATGCCATTATACCGTACTGAACCAGTCTTACTTATTTATCCACATTTAAAAATGCTATAAGGCTTTACTTTTTTTCTCCATCTTGAACCTGAAGCAACTCTCCGAAGCATCCGAATCAAGTTAAAAGGGTCTACCTAATTTTTAATGCTAAAACTGGTGGTGTTGTTTAAGCTACCCTTTATGTATCATATGCTTTTTGTTCTTCTTTACCCCATGAAAATTTGATCTTTCCAGTAAGTTTATTTAATAACAGTGCTATATACTCAAAGTTCTTTACAAATGTTCGACGGTAATTTGCTAAGCCTAAATCCCTTTCGACATATTTCGATAATTTTGGACATTGCCATTTGGCTACTGTTTCCCAGATGATCTTCAAAATTCCTTCCCAGCACTATCTAAAAATGCTAATACCGTTTTCCAAGTAAGACCGCGCCATATCAAGTCCATTACTCTTGAAAATGTGGCTTGGTTCGTTTTTCAAACTAAACCCCATTTTAACATGCTCAAACAAAAATAATAAACAAGATCAACAAGGAAAGGCAACCCCAACACGACCCAGCAGAACCAGTGGCAAGGATCTCAGAAGGACCTTAAACAAAAACAGGACAGGGTGCAAGGCAGAGCACGGAAGGCCTACCATTAAAATGATACATACGAAGAGATAATAGTTACTGACAAGGAAATCAAAAGAAAACAAAAAAAAATTGATTGATTAATAGGCCCACAAAATAAAAGGGCACAGGATATGAACTTCAGGGGAAGGGGAGCAAAATTAAAGATATAAAACTAGGGGCAAAAGGAAGATACTTATCGTAGA